GCCCAGTGACCGGCCACCCAGCAACACCACTGGACCCGAGGGAAGCCCCTCAGCACTCCCAAATGTAGGGAGGCTGGGGGATTACATTTTTTTTAAAAACGTGTGTGTGTGTGTGTTAGAGTGTGTGTGTGTGTGTGTGTGTTGTTAGAGTGTGTGTGTGTGTGTTAGTGTGTGTGTGTGTGTTAGTGTTAGAGTGTGTGTGTTAGTGTTAGTGTGTGTGTGTGTTAGTGTTAGAGTGTGTGTGTTAGTGTGTTAGAGTTAGAGTGTGTGTGTGTGTTAGAGTGTGTGTGTGTTAGTTTTATAGTGTGTGTGTTAGTGTGTGTTAGTGTTAGAGTGTGTGTGTGTATGTTAGTGTTAGAGTGTGTGTGTTAGTGTTAGAGTGTGTGTGTGAGTGTGTGTTAGTGTTAGAGTGTGTGTGTATGTTAGTGTTAGAGTGTGTGTGTGCGTTAGTGTGTTAGTGTTAGAGTGTGTGTGTGTTAGTGTTAGAGTGTGTGTGTTAGTGTTAGAGTGTGTGTGGCCCCATGGGTTGTGTGTACGCCACTGGCTGAAGCTCAACATTGATTAATGCTGTCTGTGAGTTACAGCACTTATCGGCACGAACAAAAGTGTCTCTAACCTGTGCCTTCAAGGGAACCTAGGCACTAGAATGAAATCGAACTATCTGTGCTAGATAAGTGCCGAAAATACAAGGAAAACTGCACTTCCCGGATTTAGCTAGATCGGGTGAAGGAGGATCCTTCCTATCACCACACAAAAGATCATGAATCAGAATTAAATTTAGAAGCTCCCAACTGTTCTGATATTAGAGGGACATGTCCTGGGTTGGTTTCCTGAGTATTGGCTGGAGCCACATGTTTTTATTTATTTTAAGTTTCTGCCACTCTGAAATGAAAGAGTCCACATTGAGCAAGGCAGCAGAGATAAAGAGACCTGGATATGTCCATGGAACACAATAGAGATATGTGTTTAACATAATACTATTAAAATTAATAAACATTTACTTACCTGTGGGGTTCTCTTGACTTTGGTATGATATGCACACAATCCCTTTTATGAAATGTCTTTTCTATCCACGGTATATTGTCCTTAAAAAAGGAAAAAAATATAATAATTAATTAAAAGGAATGTAGCAATGCAAACCCATTTCAACTGTTTTGCAATCGTGTTAATTGAAACATTAAAACAGACCACTTAGAGGCAGCATTTTAGCAGGCTATTGTCCTCTCCAAAAGAGAAAGGCAGTATCAGGGCACTGCAAGTATCATCCAAAAAACAACTAAGCCAACATTGTTCTCATCACAATTAGGCAGATGCTACATACTTCTGTACATTTTTATTGGGAGCATATCGATTAGAGCAAGGGGATTGGTAGACACATCAAAATGAACATTATAGAGAATGGAAGAAGAACTACTACTACAAAAGAATGGGACAGAAATGTAAAAAGTGCAGAAGGGGAATTTAGGAGAAGCAACAAGTGCACATTATGTTACCATGGATGGACTGCTTGACACAAAGCCTTTGCTCCTTTATGTTATCTGATTCTCTGACTCTAGCTCAGGATAGAGGCTTGTCTCGTTGCATTAAATAGCTGCACTAAGGTGGTAAGTAATTTTTTTGTATTTCAAGAGTGGCATTGGATGGAAGATGGTGCTATTTTTATTGAGATATTTGTTAGTGAGGATTACAGCCCATCATGAATTCTCTCTGGAGCGAAATAACCCTATTATACAACCAACACTTTGTATTATATCTATCAGACATAGTCTTGTGAGATAGAATAGTTGGCCAAAATATTGATCATTTTGAAATAGAAAATAAATAAAAACATTCTATATATCTGTGGTCAGGGACAATAAGCCGAGTGGTGTAGCAATGGTGTAAATCCATTGTGGTGCGCCGAAACTAAAGTTTGGGGAGGCCTGTAAAAAGAGGGTCCACCAAAATTGAATAGCTTGATAAAGGGAGCTGTGGGTGGACTGAAGCAGACAGTATCGGCCCAGAGGAAGGGGAGACCTTCCCACAACTATAGGCTGAGCCTTCCTATTTGTAGTCAGGGACAATAAGCCAAGTTATAGCAGTGGTGGTGTAAGTCGGTTGTGGTGTGCTGAAACCAAGGTTTGGGTAGACTTGTAAAAAGAGGGGAAAAGGTTTAACAGTTTAACACTTTAATAAGTGTTGACATTACATAACCAATACTTTGAATGCCTGCTTAAATTGCTTCTCCAGTGGAGGGATGCATCTGGTGTATGCAGAGGATCTCCTGTCCCAGCCGTCGATGATGTGGACACTGCAAAAGCACTACCTATTCTAAAAGAATGATCTGAAAATGTTGAAGGTTGTATTCAAGTAGTTTTACAGTGTTGTGAGCTAATTTCAGGTTGAGGTGACAAAAGGATGTGAACACCACCATGGTATCAATTGAGTACGGATTAACGATTAGAAATCCTGAAGTGAATTTATTGAATATCGTCAGAGCTCTAGTATATGAATGGTTGGCATTGGCAGATAGTGATGCATGTGCCAGCAATCTACCGTGATCATGAGATGAGCTAATGCAGTATGAGGTCTTGAAAAGTTGCGGTTTTGGTAGGTTGTTTGGCAGCCATGCGGTGTGCCTGGAAGAGTACCCGAAATTGTGATTGAGAGAAGGTTTTGGCTTCTGTGTTGTGACGGCCTAGTATGTGTATACGGACAAGGTAACATTGCTGTATTGCTTCCAGCCAAGTCAACTTTCTAATGAACCTCATTATTGTTAATGAGGAACCTTTATTTATAGTTTCCAGGGATCTCTGTTGTATGAGTAGTATTTGACAGATATCCCTCTCCATAGAGACCCCCAGGTATGTGCGGTGGCCACAATGGGGTATACTTCAAAGAGAACTGAAGTTTAACTACACGATTATTGACTCGAGTATAAGCCTAGGGTGGGAAATGCAGCAGCTACTGGTAAATGTCTAAATAAAATTAGATCCCAATAAAATTACATTGATTGAATATTTATTTACAGTGTGTGTATATAATGAATGCAGTGTGTGTGTGTGTGTTTGTGTGTAGTGTGTGTGTGTGTATATAATGAATTCAGAATGTGTGTGTTTGTGTGAATGCAGTGTGTTTGTATGAATGCAGTGTGTGTGTATATAATGCAGATTGTGTGTGTAAATAATGCAGAGTGTGTGTTTGTGTGAATGCAGATTGTGTGTGTATATAATGCAGAGTGTGTGTTTGTGTGAATGCAGAGTGTGTGTGTGTTTGTGTAGTGTGTGAAAACTGGGTGGGGGAGGGCATTTTTATTATTTTTAATAATTTTTTTAAATGTAATATTTTTTTATTTTAATTTTATTATTTTATTTTTATTTATTTTTTATTTTAATATTATAAAATTAAATTGTTTATTTTATTTTTTTTGTCTCCCCTCCCTGCTTAATACCTGGCCAGGGAGGGGGGCTATGGCAATCCCTGGTGGTCCAGTGGATGAGTTGTGCAGTGGGGGGGGCTGGCAGGAAGCGTTTACTTACCTTTACAGCTCCTTGCAGCTCCTTGCAGCTCCTGTCAGCTCCGTGCAGCTCCCCTGTTCAGCTCACAGTGTAAGTCTCACGGTCTGCGTGGCAACGCTCTGACGGCCGCGGGTCTCGCAAGACTTACACTTTGAGCTGAACAGGGGAGCTGCACGGAGCTGACAGGAGCTGCAAGGAGCTGACAGGAGCGGCTGTAAAGGTAAGTAAATGCTTCCTGTCGGCCCCCAACTGGGCTTGTAATGAGCCCGGCGGTCCTGGTCTGTATTATGGCAATTTAAGTTGCCATAATACAGACACTGACTCGAGTATAAGCCGAGTGGGGCTTTTTCAGCACAAAAAAACATGCCGAAAAACTCGGCTTATACTCGAGTATATACGGTACTTATTTTTTTCCAATGGCAGGATGTTTATAAAAGATAGTGAAAACTAGTGTCAGTTTGGCCTATGAGAAAAAAGGGTGTTTCTGCTTGCCACAGATTGTAGAAAGGAGAGGAAATTCTTGCTCTTAACCCCTGCAGACGTGGAAAGACTTAACTAAGGCAAATGCATTTTAACCCTTTCAAAGCAAGAGTATCTTGTATTATAATCGGGCTTACTGACCATTAAATCTTCCAAGCCCTGTATATAGCATATACTTTTAGCTAGTAATAAGAAATACAGAAGTAGAAAGCAGGACATGAGACTGACACCCTGTAACATAATATATATATTATGTATAGCTCTGCATGTCTAGGGGAATATTTACTAAGAATTACATAGGTAAAATGAATCATTCTCCATCAAACATACTTTCCCGTTCCAGTGGGATAGGATGTTTAGCCCCATGAATGGGTCTGGTTGATCCTGAGAGTTGAGTGTCTCAGTGCAATTTGCAGTAGGTAACCAGGGAGCAGGTTGAGTATTGGGGAAATAAAGTAGCGGCCTTGTGGTAAAAGCATATGGCAAAATTTAGAGAACCAAAGAGAAACTGGAGATCCAAACAGGAATGGATGTCTTTGCCCAGGAAGGACTCCACATTTCCCTGATACGCTGGACTTTGGTGGGTAGGGTTGAAATATCAAGTCCATTTGTACAGATGTGCTAAAAAGTTTGCATACCATGTCAGAAATTGTGAAATATTGGCAATGATTTTGAAAATATGATCAAGCAAAAAATATATTTTATTGAAGGATAGTGATCATATGAAGCCATTTATTATCACATAGTTGCTTGGCTCCTTTTTAAATCATAATGATAACAGTAATCACCCGAATGGCCCTGATCAAAAGTTTACATACCCTGACACACACAGGTTAAAATGTCAATTAAGGGGGGCGTGGCTCGACCGCCGATGGAGTAAGCCGCACGCCGCACTCGCTCCCAGGCCCCGACCCGCTTAAGCCCAGACCATAAGCAGACGGCGCGGTCCTCATGGGGAAACCCAAACGTGCGGGGACCCCGAGGCACCCCCCCTCACCCACCGTGAGCCGACAACCCGGTCCCATGGACGAATTCCTGTCCACCCCGCAGCACCTCAGAGGCGCACGTGGCGCGGACAAGATGGTGCCTCCCTCACCGAGCTCCAGCAGTGTGACAGGCTCTGCTACTGACATGCCTGGCACTGATGCACTGACACAAATGTCAGCCGACCTTGCTGCAATATCTGCCAACATGCTCACCCGTGGGGACAAAACTGCGCTCGTATCAGAACTGCGCACCGTCATCCGGGAAGAAATTGCCGCTGTACGCAGAGATCTCACGGCACTGGAACAGAGGGTGGATGAATTGGAGGAACACCGCCTCCACACCACACACCATCAGCAGGCTGCAGACTTGGCAACCACACGGCAGGGGAACATTCTCCTTGAGCTGCGCAGACAGGTGGAGGACCTGGACAATAGAGGCCGCCGCAACAACATACGCGTGCGGGGCCTCCCCGAGTCCGACGACGAGTCCCCAAGAGAACTACTGACCGGCCTCTTCGTGCAACTTCTTGGTGAGGATGCCCCCCCCCGAAATACCCATGGAACGAGCACACAGAGCACTACGTGGTCCCAGGAGTGATGGGCAACCCAGAGACATGATCTGTTGCCTCACATCGTTCCAGCAGAAAGACGCCATTATGAGAGCGGCCAGAGCCCAACGCTCAATTGCTTACATGGACTCCCAAGTAATGCTGTTCCAGGACCTGTCATCCCTCACGCTCGACGCCAGACGGGCATTTAAACCCCTAACGACCATGCTACGAGAAAAACGGATTCCCTACAAGTGGGGCTTTCCGTTTAGCCTGCAAGCCAAGATTGACAACCGCTGGCACACACTACGCTGGCCCAACGATGTCCCCAGATTCCTTCAATCAGCAGGTTTGCCACACATCCACGTACAGAACTGGATCCTTGAAAATCCGCCTGCTCGCCCGACCGGGCCCCACCCAGTTGCGGAGAACCTGTTGGGAGGTCGCGCTGCACCACCACCGCGGCGCAGAGGCGGCCCCGACGGCCCAGAGGAATAACCACCCGAGGCTCTACAACCGACCTCCCATATCAGGTAACTGGGGCCACCCCCTAGACAGACCCGAGCCTCTAGGGGGACACCAAACAACTGCCACTAGCACACAGTAGCGCTTGCCTACCCACGCCTGGCCCTCAACGATCTTTGCCCTGGGTGTGATGCGACCTGGGGAGTCGGGACGCTGCTCAATGAAACAGAGACACATTTCACTCTGTAAAGGCTCCTTGGGACTTGGGAGGGTGCCCTGGGTGAGATGTCGGGGGACACTAGTCACGCAGAGAGCCCACGAGAAGGGGGTGTCCGAACACTCGGGGCGGGTCATGGAGAAATGGACTGTTTGGGAGGGAGGTATGGGCCACAAGTTTTAGAAAATGCGGGCAAGTGTTACTGCCATTTTCTAGTGTGGTAGCTCACGCATAAGCTGAGATTGCCCGCAAGGATACTGTGTTCAAGTTAGATTGCTCTTGTATTAGTTAAAGATATACATGTTGGGCCACGGTTTTACCCCTGGCTAAGGTTGCAATGTTAATTTATGCTGTATGACTCTTTCCTCAGACTGCAGACGTATCTCACCAACACATAACTGAGCTATCCCTTAAGAACCCACGCCTACCATCCCCCACCACGGACCGGCCTGACCTGATATGCAAAAATGCGCTCATGCGCACCCGATTAGCTCGGGCCCGCCCTCCACCCCCCCCCCAAGTGCCCCAGGACCCGCGGATGCCACGAGAGCCACTTAACACGGCGGGTTGGGAGCCCCCGGGACACGGGCACTGACAACCCACATTTTTGAGGAACAGACTCTGTAGGTTGCCCTCCACGCGCCTCGCGCAACTGACCTCCCCTGTACATAGGACCGGAGTTCGACGAGACTTCCTGACACTACAGTCTCCTGGACGCCACCAACCGGTTAAGGTTCAAACGTTGCATTGACCCCCCCTCATCCCCCTGAAACTACTCACCACCCCATAGAACCCATCCCTTCGACCGACTAAACCACGAGGGCCAAGATGGGGTTCAGCCCAGCCCTACTCACATATTGGTCCAACAACACTAGGGGCCTTAACCAGCCGGAGAAGCGCTCTCACCTACTCCGCCGTCTCTGGGCGGAGAGAGTGTCCGTAGCGTTCCTGCAGGAGACGCACTTTCGGGGCCCAGACGCACCTAAACTAAAAAACAAACGCTTCAGTTTGGCTTACTACGCCAACCACCCGGATGCCAAGAGAGCAGGTGTAGCGATACTCTTTGCACACACTGTACCCTTCAAACATATTGCGTCCCACACAGACCCTGGAGGGAGATATCTCTTTGTCAAGGGCACGATAGCCGACCACACATACACATTCGCTAGCATATACTGCCCCAACCGCGGCCAACACACCTTTCTCTCCCGCACCCTAACCAAACTGAACAAATTTAGAGAGGGCCTCCTGATGGTAGCAGGGGACCTGAATATGCCACTAGACCCACACCTGGATACATCCCACGGAACTAGCACAATATCACCACACTGCGTACGGTCTGCCACCAAGGCACTGAACGGACTGGGCCTTGTAGACTGTTGGAGGACCGCACACCCAGACGACAGGGATTACACACATTTTTCCCACGTCCACCACCGCTACAGCCGCATTGACTACATATTTATGCCCCAGGAATACCTTCCCCTACTACATGACGCACATATTGGCCTCATGACCCACTCCGACCATGCTCCGGTTAAAGTCCGCACAAGCTCACCCCTCTATAAACCGAGGGACAGACAGTGGAAGCTCAATGAAACTTTGCTGAACGACCCGGTTTCCCGCGCATCCGCACTTCAGACGATCACACAATATTTTGACACAAATGACGACCCAGATACACCCCCCCTGACGATCTGGGAAGCACATAAATGTGTACTGAGAGGCCACTACATTGCCGTCTGCACTCAGCGCAAAAAAAAGACAGACTCAAGCGCATCAAGACCCTCACATCCAAGGTAACCACCTTGGAAGCCACACACAAACAAACACTAGACGACAACACTTACCTTCAACTGACCGAAGCTCGGAGAGAACTTAGGGACCACCTCTCTCAGGGGCTGTTACACACCCTGGCCAAATCGGCCAGGTACTTCAATGAACACTCCAACAAAAGCGGTCGCCTACTGGCAAAAATGCTCCAGGCACGACGGAGGGCGCAACATATCCACAAGATAAACACGCGAGATCAATGTAGCACTAGACACCCAGAAGGCATACTAGACGCATTTCAGGCCTATTACAAAGACCTATACAACCAGACACTGACCACGCACGGGACAACCCAACAGACACACCAACGGAGGGTCTCAGACTACCTAGCCCAACACATAACCAAAACGCTCTCCCAGGAACAATCAGAGGACCTAGAGCAACCCCTAACGCTCGAGGAACTCAAGGGAGCCCTGAAAAGCATGAAACCCCACAGAGCACTCGGCCCAGACGGACTACCACTCTCCTACCTCCGCACTTTCAGTGACATCTTACTGCCCAGGCTAATGGAAGGACTAAACTCGATCCGCGAAGGCGGACGATTCCCGACAGATACCCTAGCCGCCACAATCACAATAATTCCCAAAGAGGGTAAGGACCCGACCAATTGCTCGAGCTACCGCCCGATTTCGCTCCTAAATTCGGACCTTAAGCTCTTTGCCAAGGCCCTGGCCCGAAGGATCTCTCCGATCCTTCCGGACCTCATCCACCCCGATCAAGTTCCGGGTAGGGAAGCCAGAGACGACACGATACGTGCACTCAACGTCATCCACATAGCGAAAACCAGGAAACACGAGATTGTACTGCTCTCGACGGACGCCGAAAAGGCGTTTGACCGAGTACCCTCCGCCACCTACGATTCAGTCCCCAGCTATGCAACTGGGTGTCAGCACTGTATACAACGCCGACAGCGCGGATCCGCATTAACGGAACCCTCACGCAAGTTTTCCCCATCAGCAATGGCACACGCCAAGGCTGTCCCCTGTCCCCCCTCCTGTTTGCCCTCTCTCTAGAACCATTTATGGAGGCGGTCAGACAGGACGGGGGCATTACGGGGGTGACGCTGGACGCAGAGGTACACAAGGTGGCAGCGTACGCGGACGACATGCTGTTCTTCCTAGAACAACCCCTCATCTCCATCCCTAATCTCCTCCAGGCGTTCCGCGACTACCACCAAGTCTCTAATTTGAAATTAAATCTAGACAAATCTGAAGCCCTGCCCTTACTAGACGACGCCGGGTTGGCCGAACGCCTGAGCGCAAAGTTTGCCTTCGCGTGGCGAACGGTCAAGCTGAGGTACCTAGGCACCTGGCTGCCGCGTGACCTCTCGCAACTTTATCAACTGAATTTCCCCCCCCTCCTTGCGAACATCCAAAAGGATCTCCTCAGATGGTCCCCGCAATACCTCACCTGGTTCGGCCGCATACAAGCGTTGAAGATGAACGTCCTCCCCAGACTCCTGTACCTATTCGCGACGCTGCCTACCACAATCCCACAATCATTCTTCCGCACCCTGACACGGGAAATTCGAAGCTTTGTATGGAACCGTTCGGTGTCCCGCATACGCAGGACCACGCTGGAACGGCCAAAGGTTGCGGGGGGAGCTGGGCTCCCCTCCGTGCAGCGATACTACCAGGCCACACACCTGCAGAGGCTAGTTGACTGGCACGCACGCCCAAGCACCAAACGATGGGTGCTCATGGAGACCCAGCAGTCGCAGGGCGCAATCCCGGCCCGAATCTGGCTCGGATCGGTCACCCACTCGGAACTCTGAACACAAAACCCACTCATTGATGCCACCCTCGGAGTCTGGTGTAGGCTGCGCTTTTCCCACCAACTCACCACATCACCTAACCCACTCACCCCGATAGCTTACAACCCGAATCTTGCGGGGGGCCTCCCCCCCGTGGCCTTTCGGAACTTCCTCCAGATGGACTGGATCTACCTACACCAATGGATTGTTGGCAGGACCCTCAAGCCACTGCCCGACGTCATCACTACCCAGCAACCGACCCCGCTTGATAGGTTCCGCTTCCACCAGGTTAAAACCTACTACACGACCCTACAGGGCAAAGACCACATCCACAGACAACTGACTGACTTCGAACGGCTATGCACAGACAGGAAACATATAGAACATGCGGTATCATACCTCTACACAAGCCTACAGTCACTGAGCAATGACAGCCCACTCGGGTTTACAGAAAAATGGGAACGTGAGACGGGCACACACTTGACTACCCAAGAATGGGAGAAAATCTTTCTTTTAACACACAAATGCTCCATAAGCTCCAAATACCAAGAGATGAGCTATAAATTACTCACACAATGGTATAGGACCCCGGAGGTACTAAAACATATGCACGACACAGCCTCTGGAGAATGCTGGAGATGTAATTCCGCCCCTGGCTCCAATCTCCATATCTGGTGGTCATGCCCCCGCATAGTCCCGTTCTGGAAACTGATACACACAAAGATTAAGGAAATTACAGATTTAGACCTCCCACTACAACCACTACCAATGCTTCTCCACCA